ACTTTGAGTTTTGGAGATGTAGACAGACTAATAATAGTGTTACTCAAACATGTGTGAATGAAAGAAGAATGTTTTTGAGGAGTAAACATCATTATAACATGGCCTAAAGCTTACAAGAGTCAATATAGTGTGTGATATAGTGACTTGATTTAGATCTGTGGTTTCTGATCACTGAACATGTTGTTAAGAGTCTCTTTCATACTCCTTTATATTGTAAATAGTCTTGTACCAATCTTTGTAATGTGATTTGATCTCTTATTTGTACGTGTTTTATTTCTTGTGTCGTCTGTTCTGTTCTGTTCTGTGTCCTGCTGGTGCTGGTGCCTTTTGGCCTGGTCGTCTTTGTAAATGAGAATTGATTCAAAATCGACCTTCCCGCTCCTGGATAAATAAAGGTTAAACAGACAAATAAAATAAAGAAATACAGTGTTTTTATCTGTTTCTTTTTCACCGTATCCTGAGAAGACATTTAGGTCACTTTATTTTACCCAAATTATGACATGTTGTTGTATTTTCCTACTTAAGTATATGGTATCAGATTGCATTGTCAAAAAATATCCCAATGTCTGCAAGTGATAAAAGCAAAAAAACAAAATCTTTATAATAATAATAATCTCATAATGTGGTTGCAATTAAGTGATTAATATTTATGTGTCAATTTTACATTTGAAATTTGAATCACCTTTTTTATTGCAATTTCCACTAAAACATTGATCAGACATCCTACTTTACTTTTATTTTATTTTATTTTTTAAGTAACAGTATGGAATTTCCTGGAGGTAGCACACTTCACCATGGAAATTTATGCCATAATGTGGAATATTATTAGTCAGGCTGGTGCCACCTAGGGCCTCCACTCAATTTAATTTCTCTCCAGCGATTAGGTCAGGAATCAGAATACACTAGATGTTTTGCAAGAACCTCGGAAGTTGTAGACGGCGCACCAGCCAATCAGCAAAGACAAACTCAAGCTCCTGTCTGGGTCCCTTTTGTGGTGCAGCACAACAGTAAACAAAGACGATACATCCATGGATAAAAACTTCGCATTTTTTATTGCACCTTTAATTCGCAAGTTCATCTCGCAGAAACTACAATGATCGCTGACAGACATGTTCACTCTCTGCTTTGTTTGCTGTTGTGCCGGCAATTACTTGGACACCAGTGAACATTTCGGCGCATTACATACATCACGACCAAATAGCAGTTGGTGGTTATTGGTTAAATAAAAAAAAGTACCCGCCTACGATTGAGCGAACATATCCTAATGCTGTGAAGTCAGATGGTTTCTACAAAGTGAAACCGGCTCATGAATCAGGCTAGATTATTAGAGCCAAAATAACAACATTTCCATGGAAACAAACTCTGCAAGCCCCACCCACACAGGGTTTTCAAAGCAATAGAAACACAAAAGCATGAATTTATTTTAGAGTGTTTTTTTGGTAAAATGTTGCCTCCTGTGTATCAGATTGTAATATCAAAATGAAAAATTTCTGGATTAATTTTATATTTTCACTCTTAATGGTGAATGTTTTTAATCACCATATTCAATTACAATTTGCACTAAAAGACTATTTTTGATTTTTAAAAAGTTACATAGTGAGGCTTTAAATAATACAGTTTCAAATATAACTCAAATTCAGCCTTTTCTTCCCATCCTCGCACTGACAGAGAATCATTCATCACTTTATGTGCTGAGAGCCGCAGGCCGACAAGATTCCCCACTCTCTCCGTTTCTCTTCACACAAACAGCGCTTTCTTTGTTTTACCTTTGCATTCTAGTGTTTATTTCACTTTATCCCAGCACCCTTTGTATTTTTGCACCGTCTTGCCTTTGCGAAACAGTGGTGTCTTTTTTTTACTGGATTACACAACACACAATCGAACTATGCAAACAAAAATACTACAGTCCTCTAATTACTACTTGTATATTTTTGGAGACTTTTCTATTTGTGCTTGCAAAACTTATTCTCAGACATCTATTTCTGTACATTTTGCATTACTAATTGGAGGTTTTGCGTCATAATACAAGCTGTGAAAATGTCATTGTCTTTCGTTAACGATTTTAAGATAGCGAAGAAGCTTTCCATTTTCCAACTTTGTCTGCTCCGGATCACTTTGTTCATATAAGGAGCTTTCAAGCGTGCGAAAATGAGTCATCTGAGTTTGTTTTGAGAGAGAAAGAGTTATAGATGATTCAGAATACAGACACTTTTCCAATGAATGCGGAAGAGTAAATGAAGGTATAAATATATAAGTTGAACAGGGGCGTTTCTAGAAATAAGCAGACTATGGGCACGCTAAGGGGGGCCCAAGAAAATAGGGGGCCCCATGGTTTAAAGCTGAGGTATTAGACTCTTTTTTGTGAATGAGTAAATTTTCAGTTTTTGATTCCATCTCGTTTCTTTTTCCTCGCTTCCTTCTCCTCGATTCTGCAAGACATAGGTGAGGAAGTCCCGCCCACAGAGAAGAAACCAGGACATGAAAGGATATAAACTCCTCACTGTGACCAGTAATGTTTTAGGTGGTTTTCTTTTCGGACGTGACTCAATATGACGCATTTGATTGACAGCTGAAAACGGAGGATCGAGGAGAGGAATCAAGGAGAAGGAAGCGAGGGAAGAGAAATGAGACGCATCCTATTGCAAAAGCAGCATTTTGTCAAACAGGAAGGAAGGGTCAAAAGCAGTTCTCTGACTGCCTGACATATTTAAATAAATACTTTTATGTAGTACCATTGTCTGATATTGTACAATTTCAGATGATGATTTTATTTTTTTTTTTTTGTTATCAGTGGTTTATCAAAATAGGGGCCCCAAACAGGACATTTTACACAGGACCCTGGAAAAACTAATACTTTATTTAAATTTTTTTTCATCCCTGTTTATTTCGAGTTTGTGCCAAGAGAGAAACAATAAAGATTTTTTTTTATTGTGGGAAGAAGAAATATGTATATTAAAACACCTATATTAAAACACCCCTATTCATTACATAGTTTCAATAATTATGTGGTTGCTTATGTGCATTGATCCCGAAACTTTACATACTATACATATTTAATATAATTTATTTAAATTTATTTATTGTATTGTACTGTATTATGTTTTACAATTATTATTTTATCTGTATACTTTTTTCATTTATTATTATTATTATTATTATTATTATTATTATTTTATTTTTTTACTGCGCAACTTTTCGGGTGGAGGGTTTGCTACATTTATTATTTCTTTGTCTGGAATATTCCATGGTATGACATTAAACATATCCATCCATTATTTATTCATTACTGGTGTTTCTATTGCTCAAAAATGCAATAATTCCTCCTGTGCATGAGGCGCCTCTCCACAGAACTGAACTGCAATGCAGCGTAGAGCTGCAACCTCCTTGTCTCCTTTGTGCTACATAGATTTAATCTACTGGTATACTGTGGAACATTCCATACAAGACAATAGCATTTCCATGGAGACAAGCAGGTGACGGACCCTCTGCTGGAAATGTTACACAGTGAACCTTTAATGTTGTGGAAGACCATAGTTTTATAAGTAATAAGACTGAATTCCTTTGCTATCTGCTACATTATCACAGTAGTTTCAGTACAGTCTATTTAGTTAATACAAACGCCAAGGTGTTTTACAGAGATAGAAGCATCTGCCAGTTTGTGCTTGGCTGAATAGTGTTCCAATAAAATCATTTTAAAGGAGCAGGTCCTTTTGTAAATGATTGTAATTTCCAGCACATAACTGTAAGTCTGAAGGCTATTTAAACAGCAAAAATCCTATTTGCTAATGCTGCAGTTTAGCGAGTATATCTAAATGTAATTCAGCTCAGAGCTTTCACCCGGAACTCTTTAAAGAACTATCTTTACAAGCATTTTTATACTTCTTTTACAGAGGGGGTATTACACTTCTATGAGGTATTAATCGCTAACAAATAAAATCTTTAGATCATGTTGCAGATGTCACCATTTATTGTTTTGAACATGCTATATTTGCCGAAAAACTTTTAATAAGTTTCAGTTTCAGTCCAATGAGCTTCATTTGGTCTTTTGATAATTTATGTTATTAGGTGTTTTTTTCCAAGAGTTGTCCTGAGGAAGTTGGATGGAAGATGGCGCTGTCGTCCTGCCTCCACCGTAGAAAAACAGTGCCAAACCCATACACCTTTTACACAATGCCCGGAAGTGCCCCGTTCGAGGTTTGTGGAACTTCCAGTTAATGGTTTTCTGTTTCAAAATGTTTGTGGAAATGTCTTGTGTTTTGTTCACCAGCTTTATAAATCTGCTAGCCTGATTCATCCGCCGGATTCACTTCGTGGAAACCATCTGACCTCGCAGCATTAGGATTTGTTCACTCGACAGTAGGTGGGTACTTTGATTATTTAACCAATTGCTGCTATTTGGTCGTGATGTATGTAATGCACCAAATCCCGTAGGAAGAAGGGCAATAACGCCTTTCACCTTGATAAAATTCAGCAAACATTCTCTTTGTTCTGGCTTTAAATCCTCGATCTCGAGAATCGTTGCCAACACAGAATGTCTGTCTTCGTCTACATCCATCTCAACCGCTTTGTTTACTGTTGTGCTGAACAACAAAAGGGACCCAGACAGGCGCTTGAGTTTGACGTCATGGCTTCACAGCTCTTTGCTGATTGGCCGGTGCGTGGTCTACAACTTCCGGGGTTCTTGTAAACCGTGTAGTGTATTCTGACTCCTGATCTAGTAGCTGGAGAGAAATGAAATTGAGCAGAGGCACTAGGTGGCCCCAGCCTGGCTATAAATCTGCAAAATCAATGGATAAAACATTCTTCCATGCACAACATCAAGCATCTATACAAACACAACATTTTGCATTTCAAATTAAAAAATATATCATTAACCAGTTTTAAGTTTATCGGCAAACCTAAAGCGAGGCAGTTTCAGGTGAAAAAAGGTCTTTCGTCTCATCTTATGGCAACTGCATCTGACAAAGTACACTAGTCTTTAAAGTATTTGTATATCTTACCCTTTGACGAGCTCCACCACTATGAAGTCGCTCCCGTCGCCGGAGTTGAAGAGCATGAGTCCGTCGGGCGTGGTGGTCTTGAACTGGAAGAAGAGGTGCATGGAGGCGTAGGCTTGGAGCGTCGCCAGGGCCAGGTAGCTCCCTTTGGTTCGGAACGTGACCGGGTCGGCGATGATGTGGCGCATTCCGAAGCGGGCGTTGAGCTCGCAGTAGGAGATGTCGCCGTTCTTGCACTGGTCCAGGTAGGGCACGCCGTTGAAGGACAGGCCCTGGAGGTGTCCGATGAAGTTGGACGGGACCACGGATATGAAGCGGCGTTCCGTCATGATCCCCGTCTCGATGTTGTGGAATTCCAGACGCGTGTGGGCACCAGTCATCTGACCTGTGAGAGAAACGGGACACGAAATGGTTTTAAATGTGCACTGTGTAACTTTTTCTGCTAGAAGATGTGCCACCTGTCAAAGTAAGAATGCATCTTTAATAAAAAATACTTGTAACTGAATAAATCGGACCATCAGGTGACGGGCCACGCAAATAAAAGTTAAGTTTAAATGCGCTGTACTTGATTAGAACTGTCTTAAAAGCAACAAAAAAAAACCTTGGAAGAAAGAATTTTAAGCATCCTAATTAATCCGTGTATCATTCGTTGGTCAAAATAGTCAAAAATAAGAAAACGAAAAAAAAAAAATAACTGCTGACTTAAACTGTGATGCTGGACTTTTGCACTGCATAAGGACTGAACCAGGACTGATCCCAGGACTGAACCAGGACTAAAACAAGGCTAAACCAGGTCTAAACCATGTTTAAACCAGGACTAAACTAGGACTGAACCAGGACTAAGTGTCGGGTGTGCCCACGTAGACTGTCAGGTGATCAGGACTAAGACCAGGACCAGACCAGGGCCAGACCGGGATCAAACTGACCAGACTGGGATTGAGATCGGGACTGAGACCAGGACTGAGACTGGGACAAGGACCAGTACCAAGACCGGGATTGATATAAGAGACTGGAACCAGACCAGAACTGAGACCAGGACTGAGACTGGGACAGGGACCAGGACCAAGACTGGGACTGATACCAGAGACTGGAACCAGACCAGAACTGGGACCAGGACTGAGACTGGGACAGGGACCAGGAACCAAGACCGGGACTGATACCAGAGACTGGAACCAGACCAGAACTGAGACCAGGACTGGGACTGGGACTGAGACCAGGACCAGACTGGGACCAGGCCGGGACTAAGACTGGGATCAGACTGGGACCAGACCAGGATTGAGACCAGGACTGAGACTGGGACCAGACCAGAACTGAGACCAGGACTGAGACCAGGACCAGACCGGGACACGATCAGGATTGAGACCAGGCCTGAGACTGGGATTGAGATCAGGACTGAGACCAGAAGTAGACCGGGACCCGACCGAGACTGAGAGCGGGACCAGACCAGGACCAGACCAGAACTGAGACCAGGACCGAGACCAAGACCAGGACCAGACCGGGACAAGATCAGGACTGAGACCAAATCGTGCATGTGTATTATGGGACAATTTTGACGCCTTATTCAGAGGCCAGGGGGTAGTTTTGCAGTCACAGTCATTTAAACAACAACTAGCATGCCAACTGTGCACTTCCTGATTCTTGGATGATTCTTTATAATTTGATGCAGCACACCTGACTTGTTTTGACCTCGAGAGCTGCTTGTACAACATATCTGAACTTGGGGAACACTAAAATAAAACAATAAACCAGCTGCAGGCTCTAGATCAAAAACATTACATTTGAAGGGGAAAATGGCAGGCGTTCGACAGCACCCAGCGGTACAATTTTCAATTTCACCTTTTGTTTTTAATTTCCGTGCTCCGGCTGTGGTCATTCCACGAATTGGCCGGTGACTAAATAGTGTCAAAGCAGAGTCGCTATTAATTTTCCTCTCCAGCCACATTTAGACACATTCATATTTTTCTTTTCTTTTTGAAAGCACAAACATGTTTTGAATGATTTTACTCTTACGCAATGCTTTTTGTTTTTCATTTTTACATTTTTTTTTTACATTATCAGGTGAAAAATACTGTGATTTACCATAGGTTCAGGAATAAAGGTGCCATCTATTTTCCTAACCCACCGTGAAGGAAATTACACAAATAACATTGGTGGAAAATCTCTTGTTACAGCTGCATTGTGTGTTTTGTATGTTTGAGGACATGGGGTAATGAGATTGGCTAGTGTCCAGATTTATTTATTGAATTAAAGAGGTTGCATTACAGGTGTTTTATAGACCTTTTCACAACGTCCGGAAGTGAGCCGCTATAGATTTATGAAATGTCTGGTTAATGGTTTTTTATGGGAAAATGTCTAGAAATGTCTGGTGTATTTTCCATCAGCTTCATAAATCTGTCCCATCACCAAATCTTCAACCAAAAAGGTCCACAAAGGAAGAATCTGAAAAATGAAGAGTTTATCCACAACTATCAACGTAAGAAAGACGAAAACGTAAGGCGACCAATGACGATGCATTAGTGAACTACTGAGCAAAACTAATGTTATGGTCATGAATAAAACATAAGTAACTTGTTCACTCAGACTGATTCTACAATTAAAATCACACATTGATTTCATGATGTCAGTATTAACATAGATAAATAGACAGTTTGAATGCGAGACATCTGTAGCACACCATAACATTAGTTTTGCTCAGTAGTTCACTAATGTGTCGTTGTCGTTCGCCTTTAAGAGTTCATCTTTCTTACCTTGACAGTTGTAGATAAATTCTTCATGGAAAAATTTTTATCTTTTGTAAACCTTGTTCACAGCCTGATTCATCAGCCGGTTTCACTTCATGGAAACTGTTTGACCTCACAGCATTAGGATTTGTTCGCTCGAAGGTAGGCGGGTACTTTTTTTATTTAATCAATTGCTGCTATTTTGGTTGTGACGTATGTCATGCGCCAAATCCCGTAGGGTGAAGGGCAATAACGTCTTTTCCCTTAATAAAATTCACCAAACATTCTTTTTGTTCCGGCTTTAAATCCACGATCTCGGGAATCGTTGCCAACACAGAATGTCTGTCTTCGTCTACATCCATCTCAAGCTGTGATATACCACAAAAGGGACCCGGACGAGCGCTTTAGTTTGACATCATGGCTTCATAGCTCTATGCTGATTGGCCGGTGTGTGGTCTACAACTTCTGGGGTTCTTGCAAACCGTCTAGTCGCTGGAGAGAAATGAAATTGAGTGGAGGCACTAATTGGGGCCAGCCTGGCTAACAGATTTATGCAGTTGGTGGAGAATACCTAAGACATTTCCACAGACATTTTATCATAGAAAACCACAGTCAGTTCTAACTAATTCTAGCTATCTTCTCTATATCTACTTATTATCATAGACTGTATAAAGAAGTGGACTAAGGGAGTACGACGTCACCCATAGTGTTCAGCTCCTGTCAAATAAAGCTTTTTTTTAATGTATTTTTTTCACCTTCCCCCACTTTCTTGCTTTCACCCTTCATCCATCACTCCATCTCTCTCATCTTGCCTTCACCTCTCGCCCCTCTGCCCCTCCATCCCTCCATCCCTCCACCAATCCGCCCCAGGCTACAAGTTCTACGCCCCCACTTTGCCCACTCTCTCCTCCCTCCCCCTCCTCTGCTCCCTGACCTGAGCCTCACCTGCTTCAGAGCACAGATGCTTAATGCACATTGGCGGTTGTGTGTTTGTGTGTGTATATAGTATGTGTGTTTTTGTTGTACAGCTTGAACTGTTTCGCCATTCGAATTTCAAGGCTGGATGGTTAGGATACAATATTGGAAAAAATACCTACACTACAAAAAGGAAAAAATCTGTAAAAATCTATAGTTCACTAAAAACCTTGAAGAATTTCCTTTTTTGGCCTCCAACAACAACAGAAATCTTATTACATTAGATGTTCCCCATATAACAGAGTATACTAATTTCATTTTTTTCACTACGGGGGCAACAATAACTCAGGTTGTAAACAGTTTACTCAACGACCCAAAGGTTTATGGTTCGAATCCAACTTTCAGCATAACACGCAGTGCTTTGAGTGCCATAAATATAAAAAAGAGCTATATAAAAGTGTGAGAATGACCTCTAAAAACTATGATTTTTTATTTTTTTTTGCATACTACTTCAGTTTCTATCACCTTTGTTTTAATCGACTGAACCAGCAATCCATGTTCTTAAACATTTTGAGGGAATGGACAATTTTATCACCAACCAAAACGCTAGAGCGAAGTTAAGAGCGAGACCTTTTCTGTTGTGTTCACCTGGCGCCCCCTGGAGGCTTCTGGACACAGAGGAGAGACACTTTTGGCCCTTTCTCTCCTCAAACTGCCCCGACACAGACCTGCTGACCCTCCCTAACCAGCCGTCTTGTTAAACTGCACTGAGACCTTCGACTGTGACACAAAGTCCACGCAACTGCAACAGTTTACTGCAGCAAAACTTGAATGGCTCACTTTCCCAGTTGCTGTCTACATACGGGTTACAGAGAAACACAATTTTGATTCCTTTGTGTGTCTAGTACATCTGAAGAAATTGACAATAAAGCTAACTTTGAACTTAAAATTAATACATTTTAAAGTAGCACTTTTTGATACAATTTGAGCTCTGGGTGCTGTCTGCAGCGAATTAGTCATTTTATTGACCACAAACCCCCAAAAATTCTCCATCAAGAATACTTATTTTATGGTCCTATATTACTCAAAATTGACTCTTGAGGTTTAAGTCATGTTACAGTGTTGTTGTCTCCTCAAAAACAGACCTACAGTTGTGTTTTGTTTCATTCACACATATATGAGTAACCTTTTATTATTAGTATGTCTACATCTCCAAAGCTCAAAATGCTCTGATCCAACTTGTGATGTCATGAAGCAGTAGTTTTTATATAAACAGATGTGTGTAGAATCCCTCAGTCATCCAGGTAGTATCCATGGCAAAGGAGCAATTCAATTTGTCAACTGGACAAAAGTTTATTTAGGTTGAAAATGTTATGCATCTTATCCAAGCTGCTTCTTCAGTTCTGGTCACATGCTGATGGACACTGCCTTATATCTGCCTGCAGGGAGGAGCTAACTACACTTAAACTACTCTGAAACTAACACAGTACTTGTCTACAGTTTCTGTTTGTTAGCTCGGCCTCTTCATTTGTCTTGAGGGAGGGGACAGATTACCATAATCATTCAGGCCAAAAATGAGGGTTTTCACACCTAGAGGCCCTAACCTGACTACCCCTATTGTTCTATGTAAAGGGCACATGTTTGTCCAGTTGACAAATTGAATTTCTCCTTTGCCTTTAAATTAACAGCTACATTTGACCTATAGTTTAGCAGAGATTGGCAATTCCAGGGCTGAAATTATCCAAATGATTCTACTGAAGGTGTGTTGAGTTTCAAAACACAGTGGAGCACCTCAGTATTACCACTTCACCTCACAAGGTCTGAGAGATGAACTCATGAAGAACAGGTGTGAATGAAACAAAACACAACTCCAGGTCTGTTTGTGATGATAAAACATTATAACATTGATTAGAAAATAGCGCAATATAAGCTCTTAAATCTACTCTGTTTTTACCATCGAGCTGCGTTAAAGTCCACAGAAAGACGCTGTAACAGATATTTTTGTATATATACTTTTTTCGTGCAATTTAGCATCTCATTTACACCCTTTCCAAACTTAGAAATTGCAGCACAGTCGTGATACCCTGACAAACTTTTGGACTTGCGCGCTTCAGTCAGCAGTGAGTAATGTGTTTTGATTGAACTTTGCCAAATGCACCGTTGCCATCTCCTCCCTTAAAATGTAACGGGGGCCAGAAACAGCCCGGCCATATGCTGCCGCCGCCGCCGTCCTAATTAGTCACCTTGCACTTTGAAATGAGCAGCTCCGCCAAAGTGTGGACTCTGTGGGCGGACGTGTTTAAGCAAGTTTTAGCAGCAAAAACAGAAGTGTGGAGTTGGCAAGAAGATTTGTAGAGGAGCTTGGGTGTGCAGAGGGCCCCCTGAACCACAAGGGGGCCCTAATGTTAAATGTTTCAAAATGCGTTTATTAGAAAAGCCAACAAATATTAATCTTTAATCACAAATGTCAAAAAAAAAAGGTTGCCGATTTCAGTTATAGCCTGTTTAGTCTTGTGATTTCTGTGATTTTTCTTTCGTTTTCCCTAGCTGCGTTATAACAAACTGACCTGGAGTTGAGTTTTGTTTCATTCACACATGTTCAACTTACAAATCCTGAATATTTAGGCAGAGTTATTCTCTCAAACTGAAAGCATTTTGTTCCACTGCGTGTTGTCATTGTGCGTCACTAGAATCAGTTGGATAATTTTAGCTCTGGAATTGCCAATCTCTTCTGAACATAAGGTAAAAAAGGCAAAAAGTACCTTGAAAACTACAACTTCATGACATCACAAGGTGGAGCAGAGCATTTTGAGCTTTGGAGATGTAGACAGAGTAATAATAAAGGGTTAATCATGTGTGAAAGAAACAAAACGCAACTCAAGGTCAAACTTATTCATCTCCATGTAGACAAGCGGGCGGTAGGAAGTTGATGGATCAGTTTCAACGTTTGCAAAGTTAACTTTTAGATGTTTCTCATGAGAATACAGTGGCTCTTGTTCATCACATTTAGCAAATTCACAATTCCTCCACCACTTTTTTACAGGCTCAATTCACGCTTATGTCACAAAACTGGAAGACGTTTGGAAAGATGCGGATGACGACTTCCAGAGATGGGACCGAGTGGTTGTTTTGCGAGTCTCAAGTAAGTCTCAAGTCTTTCACCTCAAGTCCGAGTCAAGTCCCAAGTCAAATACAGGCAAATCCAAGTCGAGTCTCGAGTCACTGGCCCATAAGTCCAAGTCAAGTCCAAGTCATTTCAAGTCTTTAAACCAAAGTACTTAGATTTCTGAAATTTATATGACTTTTAAGATAAATTGTACTATTGTATATTTATATATGAGTACTTATATAAGAGTTGTACAAATGTAAATTTTTTAGTTAGAATCATTACTGTTAGAATAGAAAGAATTCAGATTTAAAAGTGCTTCTCCAGTCTTCTCAAGTCACAGGCCTCAAGTCTTAGTCAAGTCCCAAATCACTGACCTTCAAGTCCAAGTCATGTCCCGAGTCTGTGTCCATTTTATCAAGTCAAGTCTCAAGTCCTAAAAATAGCGACTCAAGTCTGATTTTAGTCCATGTCACGACTTGCAAGTCCCCAACTCTGACGACTTCCTTTGGGCTCTGTTGGCGTTACTAACTCTGACAAAATCTGAAGACAAAAACTGAGAAAATTGCCTGGTTTTCTTCATCTAGACGTCATTGTATTCTTTATTTTTTCCTTTTATAAATTGCCTATTAATTTGTGTTTTATAATTTGTCTGATTAAGAAACAAAGACAATGTGATTAGATTCCCGTCCCCCATGGAAAGTTTTGGCAGGTTGTGAAGACGCTGCTGCTGAATCTATGGTTTTATCACATGCCCAGTGTCGGTAACTACACCTGAAGCAGTCAACCGCACATTTCCAACGTTTTTCCGGTAAGCGTGAATAGAACTTATTGTCAAACCTCTTTAAATTAGGTCCCTCCCATACCTGGCGGCGCCCCCGTGTGGTCTCTCATGTGTACTCACCCTCCACAGTGACATTGTCCACAGAGAGCTGCAGGTTCTTGCCTCTGCGCACCACTTTGACCGTGTGCCACTCGTTATCATTGAGCTTCTGCCCCGCGAACAGAGTCTCCGGACCTTTACCTGAAGTTTGGACAAGGAGAGAAGAAGAACGTTAAGCAAGGAAATGGTAGAGTTTGTGTGTGCAGTTGGTCAAACAAAAGATCTCACAAGAACAGTAGGTGACAGGTTTGGTAAAAGGGGATTGCATGTTTGTACCATGTGACATTTTATTTTATTATTTTTATTATCTCCGCCAAGGAGGTTATGTTTTTGCCGGCGTTTGTCTGTTTGTTTGTTTGTTTGTCTGTTAGCAACATAACTCAAAAAGTTATGGACCGATTTTGATGAAATTTTCAGGATTTGTTGGAAATGTGAAAAGGAAGAACTGATTTCATTTTGGGGGTGATCCGGAAGAAATCCTGGATTCTGGATCACTTTGAAATTTTAGTTAACATTGTGGTAAATGGGACCAAAAATTTTGTTTCTCAATATCTCGGTTAATTATTGACCAAACCCCATGAAATTTGACTCAGGGATGGACAATGGGATCCTCTTTCATATTCCAAAGGCTGATCCGGATCTGATCCAGAAGACTGATTTTATCGCAATTTATATAAAAAATGGGGGTAGTCCTTGGCGGAGGTCTGCGCTCTCTGAGTGCTTTTCTAGTTCTTATTATTTTTACATTTTATTTTTTTTTACATACAATTTAAATTTTTTAAAAGTTAAACTTAAAAAAGAAGTCTGTATTCACACTCGCCAACACTAAACAAATGCGTAAACTAGAACTAGATAACAAACTTTTTTTTTTTTTAGAAACTCTAAGCTTTGCCTGGAATGTTCCACAGTATGACATTAAACAGCTCTACCTCTACAAATACCTAGAAAAACATGTATTCTGACTGTGAGTGGGGTCGCCTCTCCACAGATCTGACCTGCAACTTGGTCTGATTTGGTCTCCACAAAGATAGAAAGGTTTAATGCCATACTGTGAAACATTCCAGACAAAGCAATAACATTTCCATGGAGAAAAACCATTTGACGGACCCTCCAACAGAAAAGTTACACGATGCATCTGTAAGTATTGATATTTTTGCAAGAGAATCGATTATTTTTCGACACTGTGACAAAATGGGCCTTTGTCTGTTTTTAAACTCATTCATTTAATTTCACACATTAGTCAATTTGAAACCATATCCAACCATTCAGCTACAATTCTTCTTAGTTTTGGTTAATTTATCACAGAGTATAAAAACATAGTGGAGCATTTCCGACCAGACTGATACCCTGAGATTTCATTGTATTTCACTATATGGATAACTTTGGATCAACTGCACCAGAACAGTTTAGTCCTGACTGGTCTTTAGTTTCAAATTATTTAGGCTACGTTTACACAGAGCTGGGTATGCTGAGAAACAAATATTTATCTCCCTCCGTTTTCCAAAATAACATTGTGCACACAGCATCATTTTCAAAAAGGTTTTCGTTTACACCAACTCACATAAATACGCCATCGAGGACCGTCATAACTACGCCAAGCTTCTGGATTCAAACCTGTAGCATTTATTTCATTACAGCTGTAAGTACTACTCACAGATCCCTTGAAAAACGTGCATTACTGAGCGGGCTCGCCTCTCCACAGATCTGTTAAAGAGGTGGTAAAATTGCTGACCTCCGAGGCTCATTCGTCATCTCAGGTCATGGATATGAAACATCAGCTTTGTGTGCAAATACAAACACATGAAAAGTGTTTGCACCAGAAGAAATGTGACTGTTGCGCTGATGCTTCGTGATCATCATCAGAGCAAACGGTAAACATTGGTGTCACTTTTACCGCGTCAGCTCCTAAAACTCTGTTTATCTCACTTTACACGCAAACGCCAAACCGTAGTTTTCCAGAATCTCCACTGTAGACGGAGTTTTTTTAGAAATAATTCACCGTTTGAGTGTAAAAGATGGGTACAAACAAAGGGGAATGTCTATGTTTTTATCCCCCTCCAGGCAGGCGTTGCAGATTTGCAACAGCTAAATTCCAATTACCTACTTATTCCACATCCATATTTAATGAGCTTTTTTTTTACTCAGGAGCCTTTTTTCCCATCCATGCTGATAAACGTGGACGATGCAGACTGTGCAAGAATGGCTACATGCAAACAGCCTGCCAGAAGTGCAAAATACTTTTTTTGTTTACAAAGGATAAAAAAGTCAGGATTGTATATTACTACCCAATATTATAATTTCCCTAAATATCAGATTTTTCCTGTTACTAAAAATTAATTTGAGCCTTAGAGGGTTTTAAAATACTTGTGTATGTGTAAACGGGGCCTTAGTTTAAGGTACATTGTGTAACTTGGTGGAAGATCCGTCAAATGTTTTTCTCAGTGGAGATGTGATTGCTTTGTCTGGAATGTTTCACAGTATGGTATTAAACCTTTCTATCTTCATGGAGACCAAACCAGATCAAGTTATAAGAACTTTGCTCACAGTTAAAATATCAGTTTTTCTTGGTATTTTTGAGCTATAAAACCACCTGTAATTGAATAAATGCAAGGTAGAGCTGTTTAATGTCATACTTTGGAACATTCCAGGCAGAGAAATGGCATATCTTCAGAAAAAACCCAGGTGACGGGCCTCCAACCAAAAAGTTACATACAGTATTTCACCTTTAAGATACCATTACTAACAGTCGGGACAGAAATCATAAAACGCCTACATAACTAAATGCTCCGTCTTATGACACATTACGAAACCACACTCTGCTAACTCACTGAATTCCATCGGCGTACTCCAACCTAGAGCCTTCAACCGTCAAACTGACAGACTGTAAAATCGAATGCCTCCTTACCACCGTCGCCGAAGTGATACGGAAACACCCAGAAACACATATCTGCAAGTCAAACGCCGGCGCGAACATCATCGAACCCACTATTTTGAGTTCTGACAACCTCGACTGTCTCAAATGACTAAGCACACACCATTTTAACGTAGCCCGTAAGTGACGACGGAAGTTTGAAAATTTGTTTGCGACGCTTCACACACTCTCGATTCCTCCGCTAAAGGAGAAAATGCGATGCGGTGACATATGGTGCCGGAGAATGGTATTTGCATATCTTTTCAAAGGAAGGCAAGAGCTATTTTTAAGCTCCAGATGACATGTTACATAAACGGTGGGAGAAATTATTGGGAGAAGAAAGAGATGACACGAGATACGGTGTTAGCTTTGATTAAATTGCAAAGTGTTTCATGTTCTTTTGCCTTACTGTAAAACGTGCCAGATCGGAAAAGGTTCACGTGACATCGCAACGCTTTAGAGTCTATGTAATTGAAACTGGAGCAGGTCAGAATTTTACGGTGGAATTTGCTTTTTAACTGTCAGAATGTAGAATTGCTGACCTGGTTCATGAATAAAGGGCCCATATTTCGAGATTTTCTGATGTTTTTTAATGTATGATGTTGCTTTTCTCATCACAAACGAGTTGTGTTTTGTTTCATTCACACGTTTAACACACAGACACTACGTATTTAGGTTTAGGTATTTAGGAATTCTTCTCTCAAAGTGAAAACACGCTGTTCAACGTTTTGATGTCATGTGGTAAAACAGGAAATGCTCCTGTGTGTTTCTAAACTCCATACACCCACTAGAAAAGGAAAAAAAAAGAAACGATATCTCGGTAAGTTAAAAAGACTTAAATTAAGAACATTTAGCTTTTTTTTTTAGTAGATTCAGCTTGACAAGTAAAATTATCTACCCATGGAATAAGTGTTTTTCTTAATTTCTTATTTTAAATGCAAAAAGTTGTTGTTTTCCTTCTTTTTTTTTTAAAGTGTAGCAAGATGTATTTTCATACTTTAAGTACAAAAAGTCTTATTCCACTGGCAGATAATTTTTGCCTGATTCATCAGTCGGTTTCACTTCGTGGAAACTGTCTGACCTTGCAGCTTTAGGATTCGTATGTTTTTTATTTAACCAATCGCTGCTATTTGGTCGTGATGTATGTAATGCGCCAAATCCCGTAAGAAGAAGGTCAATAACGTCTTTCCCCTTGACAAAATTCACCAAACATTCTCTGTTCCAGCTTTAAATCCTCGATCTCGGGACTCGTTGCCAACACAGAATGTTTGTCTTCGTCTACATCCATCTCGACCGCTTTGTTTACTGTTGTGCTGTTCCACAAAAAGGGACCCAGACAGACACTTGAGTTTGACGTCATGGCTTCACAGCTCTTCGCCGATTGGACAGTGTGCGGTCTACTACTTCCAAGGTTCTTGCAAACCATCGAGTGTATTCTGATTCCTGACCTAGTCGCTGGAGAGAAATTAAATTGAGTGGAGGCACTCGGTAGCACCAGCCTGGCTAAGAAAATTTTACTTGTCAAGTGAAATTTACTCAGATCGTGATAAAACGTTTCTTGATTCAAGTCATCTGAACTTGACTACGTTTTGGTTTTTTGCAGTGCCTTCAATAAAATCAATTTGATAATAATGGAGCCCTGGAATGACAATCTCTACTAAACTAAAGGTAAAAGGAGCTGTTCATTTAACTACCACTACATGACTTCACCTGGTGGATAAGGGCATTTTGAGCTTTGTGGATCATCATGATGTTCATTTTGTCTTCTTATATACTTTCTTTCAATCACAGACTGACATAAGTAACAACAGTGATATAGTCATTCTGAATGGCTTGCAGCTAGCAAAACATGTCAATATACACTATTGTCAAAAAGTTAAAGTTTCATATTTCTTTCAATCACCCATAAAGTTATATAGGCGCCGCTGAAATTATCATCAAACTCTATAAATGCATTCTAAAAGTACAACCTATAAGATACATGTGAGACGATGTTACTCATTTATTCATGTATTTTTTTTACAAAACTGCTCAACAACTCAGATTTTGCCAGTCCAAACTATCATCACTGGACACTACACTCACTTTGAACACCAATGAACATCCAATCAATATAAAAATACTCAAATATTATGTTTAGGTAAGTTATGTGTTGCAAAGTTTCAAAATAATTTAAACTCTACCTCATTTTCACTCTTAAAAACATGAAAAACAGAACTAGTTTATTTAA